AACGTTGTGAGCTCATGCTGAGATCACTTGGAGCATTGTACGCTTTGTGCGGGAGGCTCCAAGAACGGTAGCAGGTGGCTTCCAGGGCGTTATGGAAGGTTTTCAAAGAGTCCGCGGTCTTACTCTTCAGAAATTGTGTTCAAGTAGTCCTAGAAGTCGTTCATATACGGTAACTTTCCCCGGTAGAGTTTTTTTATCTGTTTTTGCCTTCTCCTATTCCATTTCTTTCGATAAGACAATATCTAGAGAACCCGACGCCGTACTTGAAGAGTTCACACTCAGCCCAAGCCACCATTCCATCTCTTCTGGTTTGTCTGACTCGTTCCAAGTATCTTAGGGAGAAAAGAACCCTTGCTTGAACATCATCTAGCACCTGTAGAATGTGTAAGCTGTACCATGTGCGTGCGATATCTGACGGTGAACTTTCGTAGGTGTTCATTATTTTATAAATAAAACCCTTGAAATTGAAAGGAGAATTTCTCGCGTTTGGAGAAAAGACAGACGCTTGAAAAAGCTTCCTTCTCGCCTATCGTTATTTCGTTTTGAAGCGACACCCACCAGATTGAATTTTTGGGGTCACAACAGTCAGTAAGGACTTATGGATAGCGACTTGAGAAAAAATGAGAAAAGAAGCAAAGAAAACACTCTCTCAGTCAGGTGTAGTGCCTAACCTTGTCGGTAAGGGGGACACCGCTTCGAGTAAAGTGCGCATCGTATGGCAAGAGATGAAGTGTGTGAGATCACAGAGTGAATAGGCTTGCTCACCTCTGAGCCTCCTCTCCCCAAGGCTCAGTCCTGATCGCGATCAAACCAGTAAGAGGGCGCAGACGAGCAGAAAATATGCGTTAGACAGCGCCAAACTCAGGAACGACTATCATGTTCGGACACTAAATAAGCCCCATACACTAGTCCACACCGAATTTGGTGAAAACAGCCGTCATGACAAAATGGGGCCAGCGTCATACATGAATATTATATTCGTAATCATAGTATCGAACTCTCTGTAGGCAAAGTTTCGAAGAAAAATGAAGTTTTGAGATTTTGGGACAGTAATAGTGAAATAGTACCAATTTTTTTGGCTTTCAGCTATTCCTGTACAACTGTAAGCCGTTACCGGTTACCCACAATTTTCACCACAACTCTTGGCTGATGGTTAGCAGTTTCCAACATCCGACCACCCCCATCCTCGTCACCTTCAAAGCTCTTGCTGTCGTTACAAGAATTTTCGAACCACTGCTTTGGGGTATCGCAAATTAAAACCAGGTGCACCTTTGATGTCGTGCTCTGCTTACACTCTTTGCAGACCTGTTTTGAGCTGGAAAAAGAGAATCAAGCCAATGTGCTCTTGACTACTTCTATTCCAAGCAGGGCTTGATGTGGACCCAGTCTAGGTCTTGTACCCGTGGCTTCTATTTCACTCAACCAGAATGGCAGTTCTTTCACAGAATTCTTTGAAATATCTTGTAACCTTCCCGTACAATCAATTTAAACTGTTTATTC